GAGAGAGAGAGAGAGAGAGAGAGAGAGAGAGAGAGAGGGGAACGAAAGTTATTTGTAATGTGACAAAATTTTACCTTTAATTACGCATAAACAAAATTTCACCAGATTTAATCTCTAATATGGTATTTGTGCGAATAACATCAATAGATTATATTAATATGCTAATATTTAATAGGTTGATATATTTATGTAATAAAAAAATAAAAGGACCGTACGTGGTGCAAATTCTTCAAACCTTTATCACTCTGTCTGGGCGGAAGAAAATATCCATGTGAGTTGGCCTTATTGCTTTTAAAATTTTTCTAATGTATCATTTACCAAAAATTTACGAAAAAAATTTTTAATGTGTCATTTACAAATAAATTATATCTAAGTGAGTTCTTTTTTTCTAATGTGTCATTTACCTTATTCTTCCTAATTGCTTTTAAAAATTTATCTTCCATTCTAATGATAATCACATTATTTTTTTATGAAAATAATATTACTTAGTAATATTATAATATCATGTTAACTAAAATAATTAGACTATGTTCTTATTTACTTTTTCTTTTATTTATGTAGAAAAAAAAATATCAATAACCCTATAAATCAATAATAAAAAATATATACAATAGTATATTATGCATATAAAATAAAAAAAAATAGATATTAATTAATTTGATCATTAGTCCGACCAGTGAACCATTGATCCGGTAGCTTCACCGAGATGATTGGTCCAATTTTTAGAACAATGGTATTTTCTCTTATACCACACTGACCCGTTTTGGTAACTTCACCGATTCGATGACGGGTCCCATTTTCATAACAGTGCTATTTTCTCTCATACCACACCGACCCGTTCACAGATACTGTTAATTTATCATATCTTGGTAGTATCCAATCCAAAAGTCTCAAGGAGAATTACTTCTTCCCATCAAACACGTCCCCGATAATCTTCGTCATCGGCAATATCTTTCGCTCGCCCCTTCTCACAATCCTCCTTGCAGCAAAATCTACGTCAAAATCGAGTCGCAAGCACGCAGATCGGCCGACAAAGTAAAAATTTTGAGTAGGTTCAATGGTCTTTTGTTTCTTCAGATATTCAAAAAATTTTGTGTAGCCTTCAGTGAAACGACTTTTATTTTATGTTGTTGAATTTCACCGCATGGTTTATTGACATTTGATACATAAACAGGTTCGTCCTTGTTTGTCTTCTTCTTTCCCTTTTTTGAAGAAGGTGAAAAATGGATAGCAATAATTGGAGGGCTTCTCAAGGGCAGGTCCAAATTCCGGGTCAGGTTATCGGCGGAGAATCGGTGCCGAATGCGGGTGTGGAAGGAGGCGATTGGAGGACTCAGCTACAACCGGATTCCAGACAGAGGATAGTAAACAAGATGTATAGTAAAAAATGTCCCTTTTACATTTTTTGTTAGTGTTTCTAGTTATTGTTTCTATGATACGTTTACTCATTTTAGGGTTTGCAAAGTTCTAAATTTAATTTTTAAGTCTGAATAGCGTAACATTTATTTTTGTCCGAATGTTGTAATTGAGGTCGGGTGGGGTTAAGAAAGACATGCTTGTTTTTGGAGTAGCTGTAACTGGAAAGATGGTATATAATTTGATCCTTAAAGAAGCTACATTTAGTTTTTTTAATCCGTCCTGTTATTAGAAGTTTTCTGTCCGTTGAATGCCAATGATTTTCTAACTATCTCATGTATCGGTTTGTTGTTTATCCACGGAGTAAGTAAATGGAAGAGTAGCTCCAACGTGGAAGTTAGTACACTTTTGTTTTCATTTCTGAATAGTTGATAACTCAACATTCCTGATCATGACAATGGTTAAGAGCGTTGAGGAAAAATATGGGTTTTTAAACTGCATCATTTTCTGTACATTTTTGTGTTTTAAATTTGTGTTTAGGATGCATTTGATAGTTTGTTGCGAAATTTGAACCTTTTTGTTATGTGTTGCTTGTTAAGAATCACCAGATTGGCCTAATCATGTCTAGTTATTATTTTTCCATTTGGATGTCAGATGAGTGGAAGATAAAAGAATTATTAGGTTTCCCATGGAATTGGACAAGATCTGGGTTTTTTTCAAACGCTTTTCATTACCAAATTAGATTGCCAATGCTACACCTCACCCCCAACTTAAGACTGTAGAGGTTCTAATGTCGTAATTTACAACCTGTTGTGGTTTTGATGTGAAACCCAATTATGATATATAGAAGTATAAAAGATCATGTAATGTTTGAGGCTTTTGTTTCTGCATTTTGAGTAATGGTTCTGTTGTTATACATAAGTGGAACTGGTTGAATAGTTCTGCTGTCTTTTCTTTTCTTTCTTACTTTCTTCTTCACCCGACTATAAGTTTTATTTTATTTATTCTAAAAATTGTCTTGTTTCCTGTATTTATTTATTTTCTCTTTGTGGTTGAAATGCTGTGAATATCATATTGAAATGCTGTGAATATCATACTAAGACTATGATGCTTCAACTGTATAGAATGGAGACTTTGAAGCGGCATCTTCCTTTCTCTGGACAAGAGGGACTACAGGAACTTAAGAAAATAGCTGTCAGGTTTGAGGAGAAAATTTATACTGCAGCAATAAGTCAGGTATAATACTGATATTATTGGTTTCCCCTATGCTTTCCAACTAAACTTTATGTAACATTTGCTCTTTTGCATTTTTACTTTTGTTGTTTTCATCTTTAACTTTCTCTTGCAGCAAGACTATTTAAGAAAAATATCCTTGAAGATGTTGACTATGGAGACAAAGTCCCAAAATCCTATGGCGAATTCTCTTCAGTCTAATGCTGCAAGTAATAGTAAAGCCCCCCAAGATTCAGGTAGACAATCAATGTGGTACTTTGGTTGAAATAACCAAAATAATTTGCTCAGATTTGGGAATAACTATGCTCACATGTATCTTTTAAATTTGTACATTATTCTTGCTACTCCATTTTAGTCATAAACCATCCATATATTTAATTGGCTAAATTATAGATAACCATATTATCATATTGGTAACTATGATTCAACTTAACATTGTCGTGACTAATTGATGAAATTCATCCTTCCTTGACCACAGCGACAAAGTCCAATTGAGTGTCTGTATTCATACTTTCATCATGGTCAGTTTTAGGTAATTATTTTAGGTATTTATTGGAGCACTTAGCCAAGTACTTCCACCTATTAAGTTCCACGAACCTGTCCACTTGCAGCGACTCATTGGTCTGGTCCTGAATTTTTAGAGGCATCTCTTTTTTCTTGGATTTTGCTTTAAAGATCTTTAAACATTATGCTCTTCTCTTTGAATCTTGTAACTGACACTTGCTTGAGCTATTTGCTTGTATGTCTATATTGGATAAAGGACAATGCATTTGATCTTTTTTTCTGTATTGTTTCCGTACTTCCCGACTCGTCAGTTCTTCCCAATTCTTGTCAGACTATTGAAAATTGCGTCCGAATCTAGTTTGTATCAAGCCATGGTACTTCTTTCCTGCTATTGCCATTGCATAATTACGACCTGTACTATTTGTTTTTTGCATTTATTTACTGACAAATGCGTATGTGCATTGTTGCACATACTCTGTGCAGGTTCTAAAAGGCTTTACTATTTTTTTTTTTTTTTGGCGCATTTATTTACTAGCAAATGCTTATGTGTGTCGTTGTGCATACCTCGGAATTCCTCTTACGGCCGAAAGGGTCACCACTGGACGATTTGACCGTTTGCAGGTTCTCAAAGCATGCAGTCTCAAATGCAGAACCAGGTCCAGCAACTCCCGATTCCATTGGTTTCCAATCAATCTCAAGCTCGGCAGCAGCATCTATCCCAGAATATGCAGAACAATATTTCGGCAACTGGAGTGCCGAATTCTTCTGGTCTTACATCCACAATGCCCTCAGTTGGTGGCATGACCACACAGAATACTAACATGCAAAACATACAGAACATGCCTAATATATCCGGTAATGCCGTGGGCAGTTCCATGGGGCAAGGAGTGTCGTCCAATATGTACACCAATTCTCAGAGACAACAAATTCAAGGACGGCAACAACAGGTTATGACTTCAGAGCCACAACAACAGACTCAGAACTCTCAGCAGTATCTTTATAACCAGCAGCAACATCTCAAGCAGAATTTTAAGCCAGGAAATATTCAGCAGCAACCCATCATGCAGTCTCAGATGCAGCAACCACAACAGCAGCATAACCTGTTGCAGCAGAATCAACTTCAACCCCCTCAACAGGCTGTCATGCAACCTTCTTTAAGGCAAACATCGGCTTCATCCACCCTTCAAAATCAGCAGACACCTCTTCAGCAGTCGACTCAATCTATGCTTCAGCAGCAATCGCAGTCCGTCCTCAGGCAACAACAACAACAACAACAACAACAACCGCAGCAGCCTTCTATCATGCATCAACAGCAAAATTCGATGCCTCAACATCCCATAATGCCCACACAGCAGCAACAGCAGCAACAACAACAGCAGCTTAGCGGGCAGCAGCCTAACAATGCAAACATACAACCGAACCAGCTGATTGGCCAACATAATAGTATTCTTGACGCACAGCAGCAGCAGCAGAGGATGATTTCTCAGCAGAACAATATGTCACACTTGCAACAGCAACAGGCAGTTGGTCAACAGAACAACCTTCAGGGAATGCATCAACAGCAGTCAACTGGGCAGCAGAACAACCTCCCGAATATGCACCAGCAGCAGTTAGGCACTCAAAGCCTCAACGGTTTTCAGCAGCAGCAAATGGTTGGAATGCAGCATGGTACGTCTAGCTTGCAAAGTAATCAGCAGCATGTCCATATGTTGCAACAACCTAAGGTTGGGGTACAACAACCAATGCAGTCGAACATGCTGCCTAACCAAGCTCAACAGCCGCAGTCACAATCGATGCAGCTGATGTCTCAGATCCAATCACAGCCAGGGCAACTGCAGCAGCAATTGGGTCTACAACAGCAGGCTAGCACAATACAAAGGGACATGCAACAGCGGATTCAAACAGCTGGGCCGTTGCATCAACAACAAACTACAATTGATCAGCAGAAGTCGTTGATGCAATCTCAAAGGGTCATCCCTGAGGTTCCGCTAAGTAAGTTTAGTTCGGTTGTCTCATTCCACTTCTCTGTAGAGTTGAGTCAGCTCTAATCGGCTGGTTGAATTTTCTGGTTCCACCTTGTGGAGTTTTACTGATTATTGTTCCATGCAATCGTATTCAAATTCACTAGTACGCACATGTGCGTTGCACAAATTAACAATATTAAAAATAATTTTGTTTGATTATGATGCGGGAAAGGAATACTAAAAATATTTTATAAAAATAGATATTTTATTAATATTTAAATTAATTTTATAAATTAATTATTGGGAACATGAAAATGTTTTACTCATTTGTGACATGTCATACAATTGAAGGATAGTTATATGAAAAACAAGAATTATGTTGGGAAATGTTTATTTGGGGGCGTTAGATAAATGTCAATTTGGGGTGGAAAAGTCAACTTTAGAATACATGAGTAGTATTTACTTTTTTCTGATCTTTTTTCCATTATTTGTAGTGATTTTAAATATTATTTACATTAAATGGTAATGAAATATTATATTATTTAAGTTAAATAAAACAAGTATATCTTATTTAAATTAAAAGATAGATATTATATTATTTCAATTAAATAAAGCAAACCATAAACATGATCAGATTTATAAAGAAAAAAATGAGTATGTTTACAATAGTATGTATGCATACCATTCTTAAAAATTTGTATAGTATGGTAATTTGTATATATTCTTCCAAACGTTAATAAAATAATTTAAATTAAGAACTCAAACTGATTTTTTTCTAGTATTTTCTATTTTTGAAAGAATACTTAATAAATTTTTTAATTATTAATTTGATTTTGACATAAAAAAATAAAAAAATCTATATGTTTATACAAATAACGTCTTCATAAACTGGAAACATAGTTTTTTCCCTCTTTTTGTCACATTACATGTGATTAATTTAAGGTGTACTGTGCCATGATATAACGCTGTCTTTTGTTTGTTGCACAATGGTATATTTGAATGCAATGCAAATATTAGATTGATATGTGTTACATATAAGGAACAAGTGCATAATAGACAATCATAAGACAAAACACGGAAATTTCGTGCGTATGATTTTAGGATGTAATGTGGTTTACACTTAGCTGTTCAATTTTATGAAGCTTGAAATATATGATTTCAGTTCATGTCAGTATTATGTGAAGTGATAAGTTTCCCCTGAAACTTGGCAGAGGATGTTTTAGTCATGTCTGAATTATGCACATTCCTTAGCATTTCAACTTGTTCTTTTGTAGTTGATTATTATTATTAATATTGTTATCGTTGTCGACATCATCATTATCACCATCATTATTATTATTTATTTATTATATATATAGGTAGTAGTATCAATACCCTGAGCTTTGGTAACTTAATCAGATTGGCGAATTTCACTTCTAGGGAGATTCTTGATTGTATTTGTTCTCCCATCTTATTTAGAATGAAGTTCACTGATCGGAAGATTCTTGATCATATTGTTCATCCATCAGATTATGCATGCTTCTATACTTTAATGCGATGATGAGATATATGTGTAGGCTTGTACAAATATTATTCCTATAGTCGTATTTTTAGAGTTCTCATATCATCTATTTGACATGTAAAATTTTCTGTGATTTTGGTTGTGGTTTGACTAGTGTTTTTTCTCTGGCATGTTTTACACTTCATATAATGTGCTGACCTTGTGCAGCTGCATTGAATGCTTATTGTAGCAATTATTCATCAAGCATTTCTTCTACTGTTTATTGTGCTAATTTGGATGTGGAACAATAGTAAATAGATGAAATTGTAAATCCTAGGTGACCACCGAACATATGATTTAATTTGGTTGTAATATGGGTGAGACTCATAAAAGTGAATTTTGAACTGTGGCAAGTTTTTAATTTCTCTCTGTTTCAAGCTTGGCCATTGTGTTTGCTATGGATTTCCCTTCTCAAAATATCTGTTGTAGGATGGAAATCTTTGCAGTGCACAGGGATGGGTTTCTCTAGCTTGTCATTGCCAAATAATGAACTTTTTCTATAATCTTTACTTATGAAATAACTTTATTCTATGTGAGATTAATATAGAGAATAATTGAATAACATGTGAATGAGATGTATTTCGGGGTGGACCAAGAGCTTGCCATAGGCTAACAAAATCCCAATTTTTGGGATGCATATTTTGACAAAATTATTGTTTCTTTTCTTCGTCGTGATAAATGAATGTATGAACGCTGGTGCCATACAATAATTTATAGTTCAATATCATTTTTCTTGATTCCATTCCCTTAGCTAACATATTGTGATTGTAGCAACAGTGGATTCATCACCACAAACAGGAAATGGCAGTGGAGGGGACTGGCAAGAGGAGGTATATCAAAAGGTACTATATCAAGCATCTTTTCTTTTTCCATCTAGACGAACTTGTTACAAAGTTAATTGATAACTATATTTACATCTGGCAATTGCATTTTTAAAAGAGGTTAGTTTTCCCATGCTTTTCTTCCTTCATTTTGTTTGGCTTCTAACTGTGTATTACTTCATGCAGATCAAAGCCATGAATGAGATGTATTTTCCTGAATTGAATGAAATGTACCAAAGAATGGCAACCAAGTTGCAGCAGGTATGCTAGCTCAGTATTATTACACCAATTATCATCTTGAGTTTACTGAAGATGATCATGTTAGCTATCATTTTTTGCCAACTGCGTATGTGGCTAAAAGTAACTGAAAACAGTAAATGAAGGTTTAAAATTTCCACAGTTTCTCTATCCCCTATCTCTTATATGGACCTCTCTAAGGCCTGAAGAGAATTGAAAAGATGTCTGATCAGCTAAATTCATTTTACTCATTGCAGCATGATTCCCTTCAACAACCTAAAAATGAGCAGCTTGAAAAACTCAGATTTCTCAAGATGATGCTGGAACGTTTTATAATATTTCTGCGGACCAATAAGAACGATATTCAGCTTCATCACAGAGACAAGATTGCTGGAGTGGAGAAGCAGATTGTTAATATTCTGAATTCAAACAGACCCCGCAAGCCAGTTTCTTCTTTGCAGCAAGGGCAGCTCACTCAGCCTTCAATGCATGCTATGCAGCAGTCTCAGCAGCAACAGTCCCAAATTACTCAAATGCACGTGAATGAAGGCCAAATGAATTCCCAGATGCAACCAATGTTGGCATCGCAGCAAAATAATCTACCAAACTTGCAGCAGAGTTCCTTGTCTTCTGTTTCTGGTGTTGCGAATTCTCGCCAGAATATGATGGATGCTCTGCATCCTGGTTCAAGTATTGATCCTGGACAAGGAAATGCTCTAAACCCTATGCAACAAGTATCTATGAGCTCTCTACAACAAAATCCAGGAGGTGGAGCACAACAGATGAACATCAACTCGATGTCGTCGCAAAATGTGTTGACGAATTTGCAGTCAAATGTTAATCTACAAGCAAATGGGAATATGCTTCAACCACATCAGATAAAACAGGAGCAACAAATGTTTGCATCTCAGCAACTAAAACAGCAATACCAGCAGCGTCAACAAATGCATAGGCAGCAGTTACTTCAGCAGCAACAGCAACAGCAACAGTCTAGTCTGCAGCAGTCAGTTCAGTTGCCTGGTCAGCAAATGATGCAGCTTAATCCGATTAATGATGCAAATGATATGAAGATGAGGCACCAGATTGGGGCAAAATCAGGAGTTCTCCAGCAGCATAGTTCCTCTGGCCAACGGCAATCATACATTCACCAACAAATGAAACCTGGAGCCCCATTCTCTATTTCCTCACAGCAGGGTCTACAGGCGACATCCCCGCAGATCAGTCACCAACCATCTCCTCAAATTGATCCGACATCGCACTCCAAAGGTGGAACTCCTTTGCATTCTGCAAACTCACCATTTATTGTCCCATCTCCTTCAACTTCAATGGCTCCATCCCCTATGCCGGGGGATTCTGAGAAAGTGAACTTCGGACCGTCTTTGTCAAATGCTGGACATCCTGTGCAACATGCGGCTACTGCAGCATCAGTACCAAACCAATCGGTTGATATTGCTACACCTGGGATATCAGCCTCGCCTTTGCTTGCAGAATTTACAAGTCCTGAAGGCACTCATGGTGTTGTTTCAACCATTGTGGCAGGAAACTCTAATGTTGTTGAACAGCCACTTGAACGGTTAATTAAAGTGGTAAGTTGCATTTCCTCATGATGTGGCACAATAAATAATTTTGTGCCTGATATTTATCTCGATAGACCTAACTGTGCTGATCTTAACTGTACTTGTCTCTCCCCTTTCGACAGATCAAATCTATGTCTCCTAAGGCATTGAGTGCCTCAGTTAGTGATATTAGCTCAGTTGTCAGCATGGTTGACAGAATTGCAGGATCTGCTCCAGGAAATGGTTCCCGTGCTGCAGTAGGTGAAGATTTGGTTGCTATGACTAAATGTCGTTTGCAGGCGAGAAATTTTTTCACTCAAGATGGGCCCACTGGTAGCAAGAAAATGAGACGTTATACTAGTGCAATGCCATCTAATGTTGTCTCGTCTACTGGAAGCGTGACTGATAGTCTTAGGCCTTTAACTGGTAATGAATCTGACGGAGAGTCCACTGGTGCATCAAGCGTCAAAAGGCCTCGAATTAAGGTACTTCTTGTGTTTAATCTACATTTTCTTCTAATGGAACAAAAGCTACTGAAGAGAGGCTGCTATTGTGGATGAAGGCAATTGAAAGTAGGATACATAGCATTTTCTCATGTGTATGCTCACGCAGATGACTGGTCATTTAATACAAAATTCTGTACATACATACATACATACATATGTGTGTATACTTCAACATGCTTCACGATTTTGTTTATTGATGTAACATGAACATAAACATACAGTAATGGTACAGGATCAACTAAAGTGAATGCTGCAAAAAAAGTACTAAGTTTCTCAAGCATGTAGTATTAGATAAAAAGCCTCGTTAAATGCTATTTCTGTTTGGCTGTACAGGATAAGGCTTATAACTTGATGAAACACCCTATAGTAAGATGGAAATTCTGGTGGACTTGTGCACTGTTTTTTATCCATTGGATGACCTCCTTAGCAAAACATACACTCATATGCGTGTATTATATATATATATATATATATA